CAACCTAAAACTAAACAAAATTTAAAAGCTTCAAATAGCCAAACTTGCTTATCAACAGTAGAAAATTTGAGTACCATTGCACAATATCCAAAACCTCAACCGGATGTCAAACGACGAACCAAATAGCAAAAACAAAGTTAATGCATTACGATGTATGTTCTTCACTGCTTCGGCACCGGCCGACGGTTGAGTTTAGTGCGGCGGCCGGTTTCACTTTGGGTGGGAGATGGTTTGAAGGGTTTTCTTTGGACTTGGAGCAAAAGGATGGAGAGATTCTCTTTGTTTGTTTCAATTTTGGAGTTTTTTTTTAATTTAAATACCACGTCAGCATTTTTGAAATCCTGTAATAATTCGGTGAACTGTTTCTGTACCTACAGCGGAACCCATTTTCGAGAAGCGGAGAGAGAACATGGTGAAAAATTTACATTGAAAATTAAAAAATGAAATAAAAAAATCTAGACGATTTCTAAAAAATAAATATCAATGACCATGCATAATGAGTCGAGGGCAGAAAATTATGTCATCAGTGTGAACTAAGCACACAGATGAACTAACTGGAGCTTCCACTAGCCACACGATTTTAAGTTGGACAGGCCTATGACACTACTAGGAGTTACAGTACTTTTGGGTAATAGACATTCAATTTGATACAATATCTTTAGGAGCTTGTAAAAAGTTGGATGTAAAGAATATAACCCAGTGGAGTTCAGAAGATATGGATGATGTTGCTTTACCACCATCACCTATGGTATCATTATATTCTATTGCTAGGGACAGACCAAGTGGAAAAAGGTATGTGGATGCTAATTTTGTTGATCATGTTTTTAACGTAATAGAAGGTGTACAATCTAGCAAGGGTTTTTCTTTAAAATCATTTGGGTTTGATTCTATTTTGGAGTGTGTTACAGCCTAGTTTGGTGAATTTTAAAATTATTATGTTTTTTAGAATCTCAGATAATTCTGCAGAATAGTACTTGGATTCATTGGAATGGTTGGAGTATTTTGTGTTTGATCGGAAAAATCAGTTTTGATTATTGTTGAAAGGTCAGTTCATTCCTTGCAGACAGATTTTCTTCTTCGGGTGAAGAACATTTTGAAGCTTTATTCATTGTAGTGAAATTCATGTCAATATGGAGATTGTTAGAATTTGGGTGTGACCCGAATTTCTTGTTGAAGTAATTGAAGAATTCTAATTGAAGTGCACGTCAATAGGAATTCAATTTGAAATGTTATTGGAGTCTTATTTAAATTGAAATACTATTTGGAAGTCCTTTTGAGAGTTGGAATTTGTATTGGACTTATGTTGAAATTATGGACCGAGAAGAAAAATCGCCGAATTTTCGCTAGCCTGCCGTTAGCGGCAGCTCGAGCAACACCTATAGGTTTTCTTCTAAGACTTAGTCGTTCGCTCGTCGCCTACCTGGCCCTCGAGCAACAGACCTATGGCTAGCTTATCGCTCGAATGACAAGGTTATCCGGCCCAAACCCTTTTCACGTTTTAACACATTTTTTTTGGTATTCTACTTTAACTACAACTCATCTATTAGCATTTGGACGTCGCCCTATATAGTTGCCTATATATAGTGGCTCTTCTATACAATTTTAGAGTGTAAAAAAGGTGATTACTAGCTTTTAGGATCATTGTAATATTTCTCCATCTTCATTATTTGTGGTGCAAAATAATCTCCTAATTCCTCTGCCATATTTTCTTGTCTTCTTTTATTCCTCTACTTGCGATCATATACTTTATTATTGTCACATATAACTTCAACATATGGTGGTTGATTTCATATCAAGCGGTATCAGATCAATACGTGATCCTTGAATTCCCAACAATTGGTATTAGAGATTTTGGGCATAATTAACATAACAAATTTCATACGAGTGAAACCAGTGTACTTTTACTAAAAACTATAATCTCAACCAACAGTCATAAATCGTATCTTCTACAGAGTACATTACAATTTTTTTTATTAATTCTAATTATCACTGTGAAACCCTAATCCCAAAATTGAACAACCATCTGCTTTATGTTTTAACATTATTAATTGCGATTTTGAAATTGATAATATGGAAACCACCAATAAGTGGGTTTTCTTCAAAAAATGAGTGCCAAGAGAGAATAGAACAAGTAGCTCAAACATCCATTTCAGAGAAGAAAAAAGAAATTCATCCCCATGTGCACCTTACGATTATTATCACATGTATCTGATGTAGGACAACTAGATTTGGAGTTTGAAGAAGTGCTGGACATGAAATTGAAGAAGAAAGATCGCGTCAGGGGCAATTTGGTCATTTCGCGTGACAGTGTCGAAATGGGCTGAAATTTGGTAGGTTAATTGGAAACGGCCTGAAAAATTGGACTCGGGGCAAAGCCTGAGATCTTGTGATTTTAGCCAAATTCCTTCGTTTAGGCCTTCAAATAATTAATTTCCAGTTTTCCAGTTTTAGATTTTCGCTATTTTTGAAATGTTTTAATATTCTATATTTTTAGGGTTTCTTGTAACGCCTATTTAAAGGTTTTTGAACGTTTTTCGGATCATTATTGATTATTATAAAATTTCGTTTTTTGGTGGATTCTAAATTTGATTATTCAGATTTACGTTCGTAAATCTTTGTCTTCCGTTCTGCGTCAGTATCATACATTTTTTTGCAATGTAGACATGTTCATGAGGTTTTATTGTTTATAGGTTTATGCAATTTTTAGATTTTTTGCAAATGGTGTGAATCTTTGTGAATAATTTGTTTGCCCATCGTTGTGTGATTTGTTGCAACGGTAGAGGTTTTAAAATCTTGCATAACATATTATGTTACACTCGATTTTGTTTAGTTACATAAAACATTCTTTATTATTTGTCATTCATGAAAATCGCAATTGTACGATACCGCATCAAGTAATATAGAAGTGAATAAAGGAATTTTCCCACAAAAACTCAGTTATTAATTATCAACCTAATTAATCCTAACTTTTACTTGCTCAAATGATTTTGTGAGTTCTAACTACATGAAGATTAAACTAACAATCCAAAATTTGAGAAATTTTAAAGATTTGACACTGTTACACTGAAATTATTGGTTTAAATACGATGTATGTTCTTCACTGCTTCAGCACCGGCCGACGGTTGAGTTTAGTGCGGCGGCCGGTTTCACTTTGGGTGGGAGATGGTTTGAAGGGTTTTCTTTGGACCTGGAATAAAAGGATGGAGAGATTCTCTTTGTTTGTTTCAATTTTGGATTTTTTTAAAATTTAAATGCCACGTCAGTATTTTTGAAATCTTGTAATAATTCGATGAAGTGTTTCTGTACCTATAGCGGAACCCATTTTCGAGAAGCAAAGAGAGAACACATGGTGAAAATTTTAAATGGAAAATTAAAAATTGAAATAAAAAAATCTAGACGATTTCGAAAAAATAAAGATCAATGACTATGCATAACGAGTCGAGGGCAGAAAATTATGTCATCAGTGTGAACTAAGCACACATATGAACTAACTGGGGCTTTGACTAGCCACACGATTTTAAGTTGGACAGGCCTATGACACTACTAGGAGTTAACAGTACTGTTGGGTAATAGACATTCAATTTGGTACAATATCTTTAGGAGCTTGTAAAAGGTCGGATGTAAAGAATATAATCCAGTGGAGTTCAGAAGATATGGATGATGCTGCTTTACCACCATCATCTACGGTGCCATTATATTCTATTGCTAGGGACAGACCAAGTAGAAAAAGGTATGTAGATGCTAATTTTGTTGAGCGTGTTTTTAGCGTAATAGAAGGTGTACAGTCTAGCAAGGGTTTTTCTTTAAAATCATTTGGGTTTTGATTCTACTTTGAGGGTGTGTTACACCCTAGTTTGGTGAATTTTAAAATTATTATGTTTTTTGAGAATTTGAGATAACTCTGCAGAATAGTACTTGGATTCATTGGAATGGTGGAGTATTTTGTGTTTGATCGGAAAAATCAATTTTCATTATTGTTGAAAAGTCAGTTCATTCCTTGCAGACAGATTTTCTTCTTTGGGTGAAGAAAATTTTGAAGCTTTATTCGTTTTAGTGAAATTCATGTCAATATGGAGATTGTTAGAATTTGGGTGTGACCTGAATTTCTTGTTGAAGTAATTGAAGAATTCTAATTGAAGTGCACGTTAAGAGGAATTCAATTTGAAATGTTATTGGAGTCTTATTTAAATTAAAATACTATTTGGAAGTCCTATATAGAGTTGGAATTTGTATTGGACTTATGTTGAAATTATGGACTGGGAAGAAAAATCGCCACATTTTCGCTAGCCTACCGTTAGCAGCAGCTCGAGCAACACCTATAGGTTTTCTTCCGAGACTTAGTCGTTCGCTTGTCGCTTGCCTGGCCCTCGAGCAACAGATTTGTGGCTAGCTTATCGCTCGAGTGACAAGGTTATCCGGCACAAGCCCTTTTCGCTTCTTTTATTCCTTTACTTGAGATCATATACTTTATTATTGTCACATATAACTTCAACATCCGGTGGTTGATTTCATATCAAGCGATATCAGATCAATACGTGATCATTGAATTCCCAATAATTGGTATCAGAGATTCTGGGCATAATTAACATAACAAATTTCATACGAGTGAAACCAGTGTACTTTTACTAAAAACTATAATCTCAACCAACAGTCATAAATCGTAAGCATCTTCTACAAAGTACATTACAATTATTATTATTTTTATTAATTCTAATTATCACTGTGAAACCCTAATCCCAAAATTGAACAACCATCCGTTTTATGTTTTAACATTATTAATTGCGATTTTGAAATTGATAATATGGAAACCACCAATAAGTGGTTTTTCTTCAAAAAATGAGTGCCAAGAGAGAATAGAACAAGTAGCTCAAACATCCATTTCAAAGAAGAAAAATGAAATTCAGCCCCATGTGCACCTTACAATTATTATCTCATGTATCATACATTCTTTGCAATGTAGACATGTTCATGAGGTTTTATTGTTTATAGGTTTATGCAATTTTTAGATTTTTTTGCAAATGGTGTGAATCTTTGTGAATAATTTGTTTGCCCATCGTTGTGTGATTTGTTGCAACTGTAGAGGTTTTAAAATCTTGCATAACATATTATGTTACACTCGATTTTGTTTAGTTACATAACACATTCTTTATTATTTGTCATTCATTAAAATGGCAATTGTACGATACCGCATCAAGTGATATAGAAGTGAATAAAGGAGATTTCCCACAAAAACTCAGTTTTTAATTATCAACCTAATGAATCCTAACTTTTACTTGCTCGAATGATTTTGTGAGTTCTAACTACATGAAGATTAAACTAACAATCCAAAATTTGAGAAATTTTAAAGATTTGACAGTGTTACACTGAAATTATTGGTTTAATTTTGCATGCCTGATTTTGTGGATTGAATT